AAAAAAACCCCCAAAAAAAAAAAAAAAAAAAAAAAAAAAAAAAAGGAGTAAGTATTCAAGTATTCAGACTTTCCTATCTTTACTCCTGGGAGCAGTCTATTAGATAAACTCATGTGGGAGCTTCATTCATTCCTACAGTCAGCTACAAGTATATATGCCTCTCTTTTGGCTGCTCATTCCCTCCTTTTTCACTAAATGGTTCCCTTAATTCTCTTCCATCAAATTTTATGACCAGCTGTGCCGGTCTTAGGTTCTTGGAACATAATGCAAGTCATACAGTGAGGTGAGATGTCTTCCTGAGCAGTAACCAAATAACGGGGCACAGACATGAAATTTCATCCTTACCAGCTGGCCAAGAGCCAACAAGTTACCTTAGGCATTCCTAGTATAGGGTATTTCAAGCTAGTTGAGACTCACTGAGATAAAACTGAGATGAGCACTAGGGAAAAGAAAGACCTCAGAGAAAGAAGAGATAGATAGGTACTGGGAGAATTCTTAATATATGAGAACTAGAAGAAAAAAATAAAGGTCTTAGGGGGAAATGGCACACGAGGACAGGAGAACACAGAGCACAAGTCTAAGAGTGTGCCATAGACAAGGAGGCTGTTAGCACTCGAGAGATCTCTGGTGACTGATTCTTGTATGCCATGGCCCATGCTTCCTTGAAGGGCTTCTGAAACTGCTGATGTTAATCGTGGAAGAACTATTATTCAGCTTCTCTTTCAAATCAAAGAATTCATTATTTGGATACCTTTTGTTATTATTTGATAACTTTTCATTCCAATTCTAGGAATTAAAAGGTTTTCTGGGAAAGATTCAGAGCTATAACCAGAGACCAGGATATACAGGGAGGAAATATACCTTCTTTAATCAAGAGCAGCAAAAGTTTATTTACTGTCAATTTAAAGTAGAAAATGTGTTCTTAGGCACCAGGAACTTAATAATTTTTCTCTGGTCCTTAATATTACACCTCATCTATTTGTGTCTGCAAGGTCCACTGGTGGGTTATCTTTGGGTCAACTTAACATCCAGACTCCTAAGACTCTGAAACTACTTGGCACCAGACTTCCCAGTAAGATATAAAACAGGAATGATGCTTGGCAACTAGGAAATGTCAGTCTCTGCTCCTCTGCTGAAATCCTTGTAGCAGTCCTAGGGTTGTAATCTGAACTCCTCACCCCCAAGACGACAGCACAGATGCAAGGAGATGGGGTCCATGGTAAGCAGTCATCATGACTTAAGAGCCTCATGTGCCATAGGAGCAAATGTATCTATGAGAACTCCATGAGCCTAGCTTTTGGGAACTCCATAAAAGACAACCCCAGCTGCAAGAGTTACCACACCAGGGCAATTGCAAAGATATGGCTTCCTATTTGATAATCCTCCCTATTCAATACCTTCACAGTCCTGATACAGATTGCCAAGCAGGGACCGTTTTCATCATGAG